GTTTGTAAGGTTTTATAAATTATATTTTGTTTAGGACTATAATCATGTCTGTAAATAAAGGACAAAATGCTAGAGCTTTGGTTGAACCACTAGCTCTTGACTCACGTACCCTTGGTGATGGAGATTTAAGTGCATTAAGCCTATCACACAACAATGAACAATATTCAACTAATGACTTTGAGGCATTTGCAAATATTCAAGCTGAATTAGAATGTATGAATGCTGAGGAAGTTATGACAACGGATGAGGAACACATAATAATTGAACGCAATATTGAGACTGAAACAATTGTACCTGATGTGGAAATGACTGAAGTTTCTGAACAAGCTCAAGAAGAACATATTATTTATACAACAGCAAATCAGATTAATCAAAATATTGTGTTCCAAACAAAACCAACATTACAGAGGCTTCCTGCATCTACTGTACAGGTATAATATGATATATTAATAAAATATAAGTAAAATTAACATTACTGTTGCTTATTTTAATTTTTCTTTTTAATTCTGTGATAGGTAAAATCAAATGTTGGCTCAGCAACACAAAGTCAATCCATTATGATAGTTTCTCCAGCTGGTGGTCAAGGTACTAGCCAGATTCTGAAAATTTCTCACCCGTCGTCAGCATCAGCTGGTCAATTGCAGTCATTAGCACAGACACTTATAGCAAAATCTGCTGATGGCAATATAGTTCAATTACGATCAGCACAGTCCAGTAAACCGGTAATGGCAACTAGTCATTCAGGAAACATCACATTAGGAAATGTTCAGACAGTGCAGTCTGCTGTTAAACGAACTGCACAAAATACCCCACAAAATCGAAATGTAAAATTGCCATTAATACAATATCTTTATTGTATCTTGAAGTATTAAATGCTGAAATATAATTTATATTGAAATTTCATATACATACTACATATTACTTATTTTATTTTAGGTATATACAAAAATGATACTAGCTGGAAATCAAACACAATCAGGGCAAGTCCTTATAACTAGTTCACAAAGTGAAAACCAACAGGCAATAAAATTTTTAAATAATAGTGTTTCCAATCAAGATGTCACAAGTCCAACAAAAACTATAACATTGGCACAAGCACAACAAATGGGATTACTTTCTACAAATAAAGTTCAACACATTTTACCCTCATCACCACAGAAACAAGTGAGTATACAAATTTATTACGTTCATAATTAAAGATTGTAATAATTATGTTATACACGAACTAAAAGATAACAATTTATTCAAAATAATAAGTGCATATTTGTATATTTTGAAGGGAATAATTGTAAATAAGTTAGTGCAATCATCGAGTGCTCAGCCCTCAAAAATGACTATAGTTCCAACCAGTACAATAAAATCTCCAACAAAAATATTACCTGCTCCAACTTTGAGTTCACAAGTTAAAACGTCGACTATTTCAAGTCAGCAATCTACATTTTCTACTAGTAATAAATCGTCAGTGCAGCAAAGTCCTCAGAAAGTGATTATACGGCAGGTTAGTTGATTTATCTATTGCTATTGATACTACTTTTACCATGTACTATTAAACGTACAATATTTCATAGAGCTCTTTGAAACCTGGAACTGTGCTTGGAAGTGGACAAGTTATTAGGATACCAGCTAATCAAAACATTGTAACTGGATCTAATCAAGTACATCAAATACAAATGCCTGGAAGACAAGTATGCAACTTTTTATTACACTTCATTTATTCCTATTATAATTTAATATGAATAACGTATTAACAATTTTTTGCAGGTGCAATATGTAAGATTAGTTAGTACTCCGTCATCAGGGACTACGAACGTTGTTACCGTAGGTAAAGCGAAGTCGCAAACGACTTTGCAAACTGTTGGCGTTAGTCAGAAAATTGGAGGTCAGCAACAGATTGTTAAGGTCTGTCCAATTTCTAATTAAAATATGATTATCAGAAAATTGCGTTATTCGTAATATAAAACCGTTTCTAATATATTAATATAGGTAGTTCCATTAAATACTGGTAATCAGTCATTACGAACAGTCGCACCTAAGGCTACATTAACAAGCAGTGGTCAAAGGTTATTAATTCCTGCAACTGCTACAGTAGGTAATCAATCAAAAAATACGGTAGCTATTCCAGCATCGGCTTTAAGTCAATTAGCATCTGGGCAAGCTGTTCTTTCAACCAATTCAAACGTGGGAAATATTGTAGTTCTACCAGCTCAATACATTCAGCAACAGGTTCAGTATATTTTATACATAATTAAGAGAACAAGAAATTTTGAATCAGAACAAATTATAACTTTATTTATCAAAGTTAGTAGTGATGTACATATATTATAATTTCCTAAATTTTTTAAATAGAGTTATTAATTTTTAACAGACGTCAGATGAAGTAAAATTGAAGTCTCAACAAGCTACACCGAGTTTACTGGGTAATGCACAAAGCTTACAAACTTCAACAGGAAATTTATCTGTAGGGTCTGTCATAGAAAGTAAAACATCTCAGAGATCCTATACAAGTGTCGAACCTAATGGAATTAGGCCAAGGAAACCATGTAATTGTACTAAATCACAATGTCTTAAACTGTAAGTTTACAATCGAGTGTTTAATCATTACTGCTGATTTTTTATTTTGAAATGTCTATCATTACATATGTGTATCTACTATTATTATAATATAATTCATCTGTCAAAAATTGAACATCAACTCTTTGCTTTCTTGTTATATGAATTGAAAAGTATTAACCTGGAATAAAACTAAAAACATGTTTAATTGATAGATTAGTTTTTGATGTCAATTAAGAATTAATTATTACATCAATGAGTACATTTTTTATGCTTGAATTGTTGATTTGAATTTATGAATTATGAATATATTTTATGATAGATATTGTGATTGCTTTGCAAATGGAGAGTTTTGTCATATGTGCAACTGCAATAATTGTTCCAATAATCTTGGGAATGAAGAGGAAAGGCAACGTGCTATCAAGTCTTGTTTGGAGCGTAATCCAAATGCTTTTCGTCCAAAAATTGGAAAAGGTCGTGAGACCGGTGATGACATTCGTAGACATAATAAGGGTTGTAACTGTAAACGTAGTGGATGTTTAAAAAATTATTGTGAATGTTACGAGGTATACACATCTATTGATATGCATGAGAATTTTTATTAGTTTTCTAAACTACAATATATACAACATTTTTAGGCTAAAATTCCATGTTCTGCTAACTGCAAATGTATAGGATGCCGCAATGTGGAGGAACCAAATTTAGAAAAAAAATCTTTGAAGGATCTTGCAGAAGCAGCTGAAGTTAGAACAACACAACTAACATTAAATAAAGCGAAACTATTATCTGAAATGGCTTTCAGACCACCAGCTATGTCTAATACAGGAGCAAGGTATAGAGTTAATAGTATTAAATTATTTTGAATTGTATATGTTTATAAATTTCTTTTGCAGACAACCATTCAATTTCTTGACTGACAAAGTAGTTGAAATAACGTGTCAATGTTTAATGGCTCAAGCCGAAGAAGCGGAACGTAACATGTTTGATGATGAAACATCTCAAAGATTAATAATTGAAGAATTTGGTCGATGTTTAAAAGAAATCATTGAATCAGCTCACAAAGCTGAAGCTACCTAGCAGGTATATCGTGAAAGATTTAAGAACAAGAATTTACAAATGATTGAAACATACTCCGAATTAAGAAATTTAGACACATTGGTTATTGGTACTTCTTAATTTAATAATTTGATATAAAACTTACAAACGTATTGTTAAAAACACTAAAATGTTACATACCAAAGATAATGGTAAAAATAGTAGTTCATAATACATTCAACCGGTTATTGTCTTTGCTAAATTAAATTTGAAGAGAACTATTTATATTTACATATATATAATGATTACAAATACTATTTCTTATAATGTAACCTATGATTAAATGCAGTTTACGGAGCTTATTAATTTTGTATCAGTAAAAATCTGACATAGAAATTCTAGATGCTTACATATTAATCAATAGTTTGACTAATAAAAAAGAAGGAATTTGAAATGACATGGTTGAATGTAATGTGGCAGTCAACGTTGTAATGTGTGTATAATGTAAAGCGATGCAGAAAATTTTTATACCTTTGTCATATATTTTTGAAGCATTCATACGTAGTAAAACAGCATAGTTTGACACATCTGTTAAATCATACGACAAAGATAAATTTTTATTTTGCCATGTATTGCATGTACTTGATTTTTCAGTTACCTATTTCTGTTATTCTCAAAATGTAATAATTTCGTTATAATGAAAATTATTAATCTGTAATATTATTAAATATCGTAAACGCTTAATTTTTTTTATTTCAAATTAATACGAAAGAAGATATTATTGTGTTTGCAACAAATTGTTTTCTATTTTTAATTTCTTCTGTTTTCAATTTTTGAATCTTTAATCTTAAATTAATTATTTTCTTATTTAACTAAACATTTTATTATTTACATTTCATAAGTAAAAGTGATTATATATGTATAGTGAAG